AAACATGTGGCAATCATGACAGCGCGTCCGTGTTGCAATGCCGATAACCTTTACAATAAACGACCTCTAAGGAAAATTCCTGTAAAATCTCAAGCCAACGAGACAATTGGCCGGCTGGCTGCTCGATCTTCAAGGAGTATTGGAGAGTCACATGGTCAGTGCGGAAAATGAATTTCCTGCCGTAATGGTACGGCCTATACTGACGCACAAAGTAAACAATGGCCAACAGTTCTCTCCTCATCACACAGTAGCGACTTTCAGCTGGAGAAAGGACATGGCTGCCATACGTGACTACTTTTTCCACACAGTTTTTGGACTGCGATAAAACGGCGCCAATGCCTGTGTTGCTGGCGTCGGTGTCCAATATAAACAACAAGAAAAAATCTGAATATTCGAGCGTCCGTGCGTCAGATAAGGGATTGCGAAGGGCCACGGACGCTGCCTCCTCCTCCAGACCCTATTTAAACCTCTGATTCTTAGCAGTCAGCGCATGCAGCGATTTAGCGACCGTAGCAAAATTTGGCACAAACCGATGGTAATATGACGCGAACCCGACGAAGCTCCGTACATACCCCACGCATGTTGATGTCGGCCAATCGCGAACACAGGCCGTCTTGGCCGATTCTGTGACAATACTGTCAGAGCTCACAACATGACCCAAGTAACGCACCAAATGTTGCAACATATGACATTTTTTTGGTTTAAATTTGAGGTTAGCGGAGCGAATCCTCTCAAAAACAGCACACAAACGTCGAAGGTGTTCATCGAACGTGCGACTAAACACAATGACATCATCCAGATAAATGGGACAAGTGACCCACTGCAAGCCAGCTAAGACGAACTTCATCAAGCGTTGAACATGGCGGGAACTAAATTCAACCCCATCAGAAGGCAATTGAATTGAAAGAGTCCCTGAGGCACGCGGAACGCGGTCTTCGGTTTCCAAAAGTCATCCGGTGGCCATTGCCAAAACCCGGAAGACAAATCGAGAGTCGAGAAATACCGCGCTCCGGATAATGCATCCAGGGAGTCATCCATACGCGGAAGAGGATACGTGTCGGCCACTGAAACTCTATTTAGTTTGCGAAAGTCTACGCAAAATCTGAGATTTCCGTCCTTCTTAACAAGTACGACCAGTGCGACCCAAGGGCTGTTAGATGGGGAAATGATATCAGCGGCCAGTATATCATTCACAGAGCGCAGTACAGGGCTCAACCGATGCGAGTTCTGAAGAATAGGGCTGGCCTCGCCCGTATCAGTGTGGTGGGACAAAAGGGACGTACGTCCCAAATCGAAATCGTCCTCACTAAAAACGTCAGCAAATTCACTCAGGAGAGCACACAACTCCCTGCGTTGGTCGGAGGACAACGACAAATTCTCTCGACATAGCTCCGCGATCCATCAATCATCCGACACAGAAGTGGGACGATCCATCCCCACCAATCGGCAGAACGCACCCTCGTCGTGGTCCGTAAAGGCAGTAGTGGCATGAGATAGCACTGTACCGGCAGGAACCACAACCCCATCTGGACCCCCATTCAGAACTTGCAAAAATGGGGCCTGTCCCGGAACGAACAATTGTCTGGGCGTCGACAAGTGTGAGACCCCTGGTCGCAGTATTAGACGGGGTCAGAAGGACCCCAGGTGCTGCATCTTCACTACGGATGCCTTTCCGATAACGCAATGGCACTAGCATCTGGGATCTCGGCGGAATTTCAACTGTAACGTCCACTAGCGCCTGCATGGCGGCGCACGACAGTGAACGCAAGAGTGGAGACGGTAGAAAAACAATTGTCGACCGGAGGGCATTTCCAGACAACCCTGATCGACCAGAATTTTAGCAGGCATCCTTTGAAGAAAATCAGTGTCCAACAAGCAGGGCACGGCCAATGATCTCGAAATCAAGATCGGCCCAGATGCAGCGATATCCCCAATCGCAATATGGGCATCCACCTGGCCGACAATGCCCATGCTACCCCCATTGGCAGCCACGCAAGCGTCAAGGGCCGGACAAACTCGTGAGACAAGGATAGACAGAAGCTGAAAAATTACATCAGAAATGATCATAACAGAAGCCTCCGTATCCAATGGAGCCAGGTACCATCGAGGAACCCATTGCCGCTGCAACCACGTGACATTCCAACTTTCTCCATTGCATTATTGAGAGAGGCCAACCCCCAGCGACTGTACCCGAACTATGATACGAACGACCCTGATCAGTGATATGAGATGCCTGAGGTGACGAATTAGTCCGGGTGCCTGACGTGTGCCAACTCACCTGCATGGGAAGATGTTGGGCCGTCGACGAAGGAGCCGGAGTCAGAGAACGAGGGCGACTCCGGCAATCCCGCACAAAGTGGCCCAACCAGCCACACCTAAATCACGTGACGGCCGGCCGGCGAGCTGTCCCTTCGTCACCCCGACGTGGCCCGTAGAACCCCTGGCGACAGCGAATGTCGCCCCGACGAAGATCCCAATGAGGAACAACTGCCGCAAGATCACCCCCTGCAGGCGCATCTTCCGGATCGAGGACGACTTTAGCTGGCGACCAACCCTTCGGCTCACTGTCGCGAACAGGATCCCCCATCCACGCAGCCATCTGCGTCCAACGTTGTAGGTTCTCATGTGGGTGCAGGCATCTGGCCGCCCATCAAGACATCTGCGGCTTGTGACCACAAGCAGCGAGAACCACTCCCATGTCCTTCGCCAAAGCCAGCATCCTACCCATAATCAGTGAGTCGAGGACTTCTTGCTTGACATCGGGGTAAGCAGCCACAGCCAAGGCCATAAAAGCGCTATGGTAGCATCTGGGATCCTGACGGAACTCCCCCGCCTCCACTGGATGAACTTTCGTTGAGTATCGGAAGGCAGATCGTAGACCTCTGCCCTTTCAGCGTACACATATTTCAACGTTTTCTTCTTCTCAGGAGGAATCGATCGAAATACCGCCAGTGCGTCATCATCCAAAACGGTCGGCAAAGCTACCAACACCTCTTCCTCCGACCAGTGCACAGACCGGAATGCCGCCTCGAAGTGCCAAGTGAAAGCACTCCAATCGCCACCTGCAGCGATGAATCACTTGACTTGAGGAAGACGGTGGCTGTGCCCGGCTCCGCTCCGTCCAACAACAGCAGCCTCCACCGGCTGTGCACCACGCGGCTCCACAGAAATGCCGGACTCCAAACACGCCTCAACAGCGCCACCCAAGATGGCAGTGCCCCGCCGCGTGGTCTCCGTAGCAAGTGTAATGGCGGATAACTCTCCCGCGCCCACAATGGCGGCCGTCGAATCCGCAGGGGGACCCTCCGAGGCTCCATCCCGAAGCCTCTGCTCGTCACCCCTTGGCAAAACCTCCTGTGGGCGCCCCGTCACCGTAGACGATGTGACAAGTGACACCAGCTGGAGAAGCAACGTCCGGAGTGAGTCCAGCTGCTCCTCCATGCATTTCCACCCGTCCTCCACCCGTTGAGACGAAGATGCCGCAGCTGCGCCGACCATCTCTGCTTTGGTGACTTCACCAGCCGTGGTTCCTGTAACCAGGACCACGGATCCCGGGGTCAGCAGGTCCTGGGTCACTGCCTCGTTGTCGTCAGAAGATGCCACATGTGGGTTCTTCTTCTTGAGATGCTTGGACATTTACACTTTTCGTTGTATTTTCTCATCTCAAGAAGAACCACTTCTAACTCCAGTTGTAATAAAGCACTTCTATGACGAATGTTGAATGGCGTCTTTAATTAATAACTACTGCACAGCTCCACTCTCTCTCCGGATGGCTTCCCTCTCTCTCTGGTGCCGTAACGCATGCACTCCCTCGTCCACCATTGCAGCGCGTCTCTCTCTCTCTCTCTCCACACTCGCCGCTGGCTGGCAGCGCGCTGGGAGGAGAGAAGGCTTCGCTGGCAGAGCCCGCCATGTGGCGGGTGGCGAGTAGAGGTAGGCGAAGATGTAGTCCAGACTCCAGCCTTCCCACACCGACCAAGAGTCCTCTCTGCCTCTCTTTTTGTTGCTCTCGGCGGAGCTAAGCTCCGCCTCTAGCCACACCCCCTCGTGGAACCTTTCCGATGATTCCCGTACATACCCACGAGCTCCGCCCATTACCTTTGGCCCAGTTGGAACCCTTCCTTCTGATTGGATATTAGTTACCCAGCAGTGGCTATGCAATTACCCCTCACCGTCCCTTAGATGGCGCACTCTCATTACACATGTCAGATCACTCTTCCCCGACCCACAAGTTGTGCAAACCGAACCACATTCCAATATCCACTCGATTTCGTAACACCAGGCATATCTCTTCAGGTCGCATCTGGTGTTTGTCAAATTTAACTGCTGATATCATATTTTTATCCAAATCTTTATTTGTTTAATTAATTTATTAGTTTTTTTACTTAATACACGTGTTGCTCTATGTCGTTTTTATTTTTTAGGACGATACGGTGGCAAGATGTTAACTACCTTGCCTGGTATACAGGAGGTCGTGGGTTCGATCCCGACCCTAATGCCTGTATTTTTGGAGTTTGCATATCTCTCGCTTCCCCTGATCGCTGGATTTATCTCCAGATCTTCCAGTTTTTCCCTCCACATTGAGAATCAACATGCATTTAGAGTATTTGGCTGCTATACATTTTGACATGATGGATGATAAGCGCTTCATTGAGCTATCATTTGTAGCCAAGTCGCTTCTGAAAAAGAGATAATAGCTCAGTGGGCCTTAGCTAGTAAAATATAAAGTTGAGTTTTTAGTTTATCTCACCCATTGCAAGTCATTCGAGTTATCCTGTTAAATGCTTTGCAGTCGCACAATATACAAATGTTTTTATATGACTTTTCTTTTGGTTGCATTTCAAGCACCTATGGCCATAATAATTAAATATCATGCACAGTTATTTCACATTGACTCAAAACTAACAAAGTTCACTTAAATCTACGGATTTGTCCTCACAGGGAGTCACAGACTCCATGCAGGGTGGAGGTAACAGGGTCACAGAGCCCATACGTGGTACCTGCACTTCCTTCCGAGTGGCCTTCATCCGTCTCACGAATGCCTCCGCCTCCCTCCTCTTCTCCTCCACCGCTCGCGTCTCCTCAACGACTCCACTCTGCAAGAGACGAAGGCACCAGAGGAGACTCCACTCCCTGAGCGGCCCCCTCTCAGCCTCACTCCACACGGAGCCCTCCACAGTGATTGCTCTATAACCCACCAGAAGTGGTCAGGAAGTCAGCCTAGACTAACTTAAAATGAAAAAAAGTCAAAGGACCATGGAGAGAGAATCAACCCACGGTGAGGTTTGTTTTATGATATTTTTTTAAATAATTCCCAGGGACACTGATGCATTACATCCCATGTTATTATGCGAAATGACAACTTTTATCGGCTCTTGTTGTGGTATCGTTTGTCTACACCTGAGTGGCTCTCACTCCCTGAGGCCCTCACCTTCCGTGTCTCGTGCTCATCCTTGAGTGTGATGACCCGATGTCCTATGTGGTCTCCTGCGATGGTGCAGTCCCTGCACACGAACCTCTTATGTGGAGCCCCTGCAACTTCCTGCTTGCAGAAGAACCTGGAAGGGTCCCCATGCTTCTCGCATCTTCGTTCCTTCAGATTAGAAATGGGCGCCACCAGGTCGTGGTCCTTCAACTTGAGATTCTCCACATGAGGCTTTACGTGTATCCCACAGTAGGACATCTCACATTTCAGGCAGGTCTTCACTGCGGGAGTCTGTCTGTCATTACAGACATCACACAGGACAGGGGAGGCCATCTTCTCTCCAACTCTGAGCTGCTCCACCAGGTTGGCAAGCGCCACGTTCCTCTTCAGCTGGGGTCGCTCAGGGAAGGCCGCTCGGCACTGCGGGCAGCTGAAGCTGCTCGCTCTCTTCCAGGCACCGTCCAGACACCGGAGGCAGAACGAGTGTCCGCAGCTCAGCGTGGAGGGGCAGTCAAACGTGCACAGGCAGATGGCGCAGCTCAGCTCACTGTCTACACAATCACTGGGAGACGCGCTCGCCATGGTCCATGGATTCACTTGGACTCAGTCGCTCGCTGCGGCTCACGGAGGAGCTATCGCAGCAGCTGCTCACACAGCGGAGACGAACAAGGAAATGAACTTGACTTCACCTGCAGTTAAGTTATAAATACCTCGAGACATGCCCTGGAATGTTCCACATGGCGGCTGGGCTCACCTGTGTAGACGTGGCGTCACAGTCCCGCACTTTGTAATAGCTATAACTGCTTTTTGTGTTTAGTTTGTTGTCCTTCCCCTGCACTTAGAATTAGCACTGTTGGCTACGTACGGTGTGGAAGAAGTTCAACATACATACATAGCTTTGACCGGTCTCAAGTGATATAATATTTGTACAAACAAAACCCAGCAGCAGCCACCCGGGACACAGCGATAATGGTTTGTCCCCAAGGCTGATTGACCGGCCAGGTCAGGCTGTGTGTATTGCACACAGTGGAACCGCACCTTGTACAAACATTCTGATGGTAAAGGTTAACTTGTTTTTTCCCATCTGTGTTTTCATTCGTTATTTTTTCGAGCAAGGCCTGTTTGTTTAAGCTTCACAGTCTGTAATCGTCTTCCACCTTTATCAATGAATATTTTAACTACTGGCTTCATGCGACCTCTGTTCATCTGTCAAATATTTTTTTGTTTATTTATTCCCACGACACCGTTTTATTCTGGGTGGATGGTGTATGTTGAACTTCTATCACACCGTACGTAGTCAACCGTGCTAATCGGAGGTGTGTGGGTGAGTGGGTGGGTGGGTGAGTATGTATGTTGAACTTATTTCGCAGCGTACGTAGCCACTCGTGCTAATCGAATGTGCGAGTGGGTGGTGGTGGTTGAGTAAGTGGGGGGGTTATTTGGTGAGAGGGAAGACAGATGGGCAGGAGGATGGCGTGAGGGTGGGCGAGCAGGCGGTGATGGAGGGAGGGAGGAAGGGTGGCTGGGAGGGGCGTGCGGTTGAGTGGTTGGGCCCCTGGGTGGGTGGCCTCACGAATGACCACAGCGAACAGCCCCTGGCTCAACAAACATCGTCGTTCATTTAAGCTTATTAACTATGAAGTACCGGTGAAGACACTTGACGCCGAGGTGGAGGCACACGGATATTTATTTAACACAGCTCGTATGTGACATACAGCACTGGAGGGGGTATCGGCCCCCTCACCCGACTAGCTAAGGATACACTTCCTAGCTAAGTCCTAGCCTGCCTCACAGTCCTCCACTACTGGGCTAGGGGAGGCTACTTGGCCCGACACTGGTAAGTCGGGCCCGGTACCCGGAGTCCCAGACCAGCTCTTAGAAGAGCACCGGCTCTGGCTTTCGGGACCACGCCGCTGGCTCAGTCCTGTTCGGCCCTGATAAGGACATCGAACGAGGGGAGTCCAGGGCTCTATCTAAGACGTCTTCAGTCTTCTTAGTTAACTATAACATAACTGAACTCGAGCCCCTATAACGTCCCCTTTTATACCCAACCCTCCTTGAGGGGTGGGGCCCCGGGGGATCATAACGCCAAACCAGCCCCCCCCAGGGTGTCTGGCTCGGACGTCGCAGAGGGCATCTCCCCGTGCACACACGTAGCCCCGCCCACTGTGTTTGTTTCCCATAGACTGCCATACATAACGGGCCCTCTCTCTAACACCCCTACATCACTCCCCCCCGCATAGCTCGCAGCCGTCCCGGCTGCCAACATACACAATGACAATAAAAATGAATTTATACCGTAACCGCGCGTGTGCCTCACTAATTTTCAACAATAACAAGAACAAGAACACAACAAAATGCAACAGCAAGAAGAGAAAACAACCCGACGCACCCCCCCTTGAATAAATACGAATTCCGTAAAAAAAACAAGCTATATACAATTAGCAGGGAACCCACCATACACACAACACACAATGAACACAACCTATATACAATTTCTTCCGGCCTCATAACAGTCTGCGCATTTTTGCGCGCGTCCTTGCAGCGGGCCCCTCACACGGGGTAACCCCGGGTGGCGGACCGTCAGGTTGCAATTGTCCGTCCCGGAGTGGGACCTCCTCCGATGCCGCGTGACCGTTGGTATCCCCAGAAGGGGTGGTCGGGCGTGAGCCCGTCAGTCTCGATGCACCTGGAGGTGGCACGGCCGGCAAGGCATTAGGTGAGCACGGCGGAGACGGACCCAGTGAGTCGGTCGACCCCCCACACGTCTGGCCACGCATGTGTGAAGTGGGTTTGTGTACCGCAACGAAGGGTTTCAACCGAGAGGGGTGCACGAACCATCGCCGCTTCCCCCATTTAATGCGCACGCACTGTGGTCGCAAGACCTCGACCACTTCCACAGGGCCCCGCCACAGCCGCGCCAGCTTAGGGGAGGTAGCCAGGGGCACTTGGGGACAGTGCAACCATGCCTTGTCCCCCGGCTTCCACTGTATCACGTGCGCCCGACCCAGCCTGAGGCGCTCATTCGCCTTTTGACGGAGGTCCGAGTTCAACATCGCAGCATCCCGCGCCTCTGTTAATTTGGCCAGATTAAATTTGACGTGGTCAGCCAATTTAGTTTTTCCTTGCGGGTCGGGGATCTGCAGCTGGGCGCGAACAGGCGGGTCGGGTTCGCGACCGTACATGAGGTAAAAGGGGGAAAATCCCGTAGCTGCATGGGGTGCCATCCGGTATGCCGCCAAGACCCCCTGAATATGCAGGTCCCAATCAGTCTGTGAATCTGAGACCTGCTGTGCCATCATTGACGAAATGGTGCGATGCAGGCGCTCGACCATTCCGTCAGTCTGCGGGTGATACGGGGAGGTCCGAATTTTCTTTGTGCCTAAGAGGTCACAGACTTGTTTAAGTAATTTACTGGAAAAATTTTTGCCCTGGTCGGTCAGCAGCCGCTCCGGAGCACCTTTGTCCAGGACGTATCCCTGAACAAAGGCGTCCACGATGGCTGCTGCCGACTGGTTGGCAAGGGGCCAGGCCATGGGCCAGCGCGTAAAATACTCGACCCCTGTCAACAAATACCTATTGCCCCTGGGGGTGGCGGGAAATGGGCCCAAGATGTCCAGCGCGACAAGCTCATTTATTCTGGACACCTTGATCGATTGTAAAGGCGGGTTAGACTCCCGTGCTGGCGGTTTCCGTTGCGCACACCGCGGGCATGAACCCAATAGATCCCCAACATCCCTTGTCATACCAGGCCAAAAAAAATCTAGTTGTATCAGTGCAAGGGTCTTTAGGGTCCCCAGGTGTAACAGGCGCTCATGCGCGGCCCACACCACCTTGCCTCGCAACTCAGAAGGGACGACCAGCCGATGTCGCTGGGATTTGCCGTCCCAATGCATGAGCAGACCCTGCACCATTTCCCATGCACCTGAATCACCTTTCACCCGCCCAGCACCCCCGACGCGACGACGCCACCCGAGGAGGGAGGTATCCTCCATTTGGAGGCGCCCCCATTCAGTGACGGGCAACCCCAACAGGGAATCTCTTCCCTGTTGTTCGATCGAATTATTAGGCAGTGGTTCGTCGTCGTCGGTGGCTGCCAGGATCGGAACCGATGCGTCCCCTGAAGGTCTGCAACGTCCCGACCCCAGGAGGCATGCACATTCCGAGGTGGTTGGCATGCGTGACAGAGCGTCCGCGTTGGTATGGCGAACGCCCTTACGGTAGGTGGTTTCAAAATCAAAGTCCTGGAGAACCTCCAACCATCGAGACAACTGTCCCGATGGTTGTTGAACTCGCAGGGCATACTGTAGTGCCGCATGATCTGTGCGGACGGTGAAATTCCGACCGTACAGATATGGGCGATACTGTTGGATGAAAAAAACAATTGCCAACAGTTCCCTACGGGTGACACAATATCTTTGCTCCGCAGGAGACAACACCCGACTACCGTACGCGACCACCCGTTCCACGCCATCAACCACCTGGGAAAGCACACCCCCAATACCCGTGTTGCTCGCATCGGTGTCGAGCAAAAAGGGCTTCGAAAAATCAGGGTAAATCAAGGGAGGGGCTTTTACCAGGGCGTCCCGAAGGGAGCGGAACGCAGCCTCCTCCTCTTGACCCCAGTGGAACCGAACCCCTTTAGATGTTAAAGCGTGCAGGGGTTTTGCAATTGTCGCAAAATCAGCAACAAACCGTCGATAATACAACGCGAACCCAATGAAACTCCTGACCTCTCCCACCGAGGTGGGAGTCGGCCAGGAGCTGACACACTGCGTTTTGGCGGGATCGGTAGCAATACCTGAGCGTCCCACGATGTGCCCCAAATAACGCACCGAATCACGCAACAAATGGCATTTTTGGGGCTTGAATTTCAAATTAGCAGCCCGCATCTTTAGGAAAACCCCCCGCAACCTCTGGAGATGTTCATCAAAAGTTTTACCAAAGACGATAATGTCATCCAAATAAATGAGGCACGACTCCCATTGCAGTCCAGCCAAAACCAATTCCATTAAACGCTGGAAAGTTGCCGGCGCTGAGTGTAAGCCCATCGGCAACCGGTTGAATTGAAACAAGCCGTGCGGTGTACGGAAAGCAGTTTTAGGCTTTGACTCATCGTCCAGAGGAAGCTGCCAGAATCCCGAAAGTAAATCGAGTGTGGAAAAGAATCGCGCTCCCGCCAAGGCGTCAAGCGATTCATCCATCCGAGGGAGCGGGTATGCGTCGGCAACCGAAATTTTGTTAAGACGCCGGAAGTCAACGCAAAACCGCAACGAACCGTCCTGCTTTTTAACCAGGACGATCGGCGCTCCCCAAGGGCTGGTGGAAGGAGAAATGATGTCTGCGGCCAACATGTCATCAACAGCCGATTTGACATGGTCCTTTTCGGCGGGACTCAACCGAAACGGATTTTGGCGAATTGGCGCGCTGTCACCCGTGTCAATATGGTGACGCAGCAAGTGAGTACAACCCAAATCATATTTATTTCGACTAAAAACGTCGGAAAATTCTCGCAGTAGTGTTTTAAGTTGTTGACGCTCTGAATTTGACAGGTCCGTCGATCCCGCACAAAGCGCCTCGAG